TTTGACAACCACCCATATACGGTTTTCATAGGTTTAGGGTTCATTCAAACCTTGTCAGTTCTGACTCCGACGAAGTCCCGAAGACCCGGACGATGTAAAGTAGCAGCCCGAAGAGTTCTCAGCATTAGGGTTTAGGGGTTAGTATGTAGGGATAACTAAGGTTTAGGGTTTAGGCGCTATATATAATGGGGATGGAAAAGAAAATGGAAACTACTAACATACAATGGGGTATATAGGGATAATGGAAAAGAGAAGGAATCTACTGAAATATGATGGGGTGTATAGGGATAATGGAAAAAGAAATGGAATCTATTACGTAGCGTTTAGGAGGATTCCCCCACCCTGTATCACTGGTATACTAGGAATATTAGAGGACACTAAGATAGTTACTATGATCCTTTGTAGTCACTACTACAGGGTGGGGGGTCCACCTAAATTATCCATTTCTAATCCTTACATAATTATAGGATACTGCCCCCACAGCCCCCCTCTGATTTCATTCTGCTGAGGATTGCCTCCGCCGTCTTCAATCTCGGCGACCATGCGCCTTTGTTGAGGGGTTTAAGGTTTAGAGGTCTTGGCTTTTGAATTTGGAGTTCAGGCTTTATCGAGGTGAAGGTTTAGGTGAAGCGTTATGCGCTGCGACGCTCTGCTAGGACTTCGGAGTATTTGAGCATGGTCAGGACCCTTAGAAAGTATTGAGCCCCATTTACAGTGGTGTGGCATAAGCCTCTGGATCTAGTTTTCTAAGAGTTTTCCTTCTGGGGTCGGTGGCGCGTGCCTCACATTTTGACATTGCAATTTCTGATTCAGGAGTTCCAAAGGCATTTGGCCCCTTACTGTATCATGTGCTGCGGATGAGAGGTGCCCCGAAACTGTGGCCTTCTTGTAGGATAGGTTCTCTTTGGGACTTAGCTTGGACCTTCGACCTTAGACCCTTTGGGATTCCCTTATACTCCTATTGTAGGTACTTACGGGCTAACCCTTAGTAAGGGTCCTAAGTGCCACGTAGGGATGTCATCTATACCCTAAACCCTAAACCCTAATCCCTAATCCCTAAACCCTATAAACCCCTAGGCACAAAGCAGTTCCCCTCAAAAAATGCGTTCATAGATTTCCAACCTCCTGAGCCCTCAGTTGAAGTGTCAAGCCCCATGGCCTGCCCCAAAAAACTGGGTTGCTGTTCAGGAACTTTGTTCAAGTTACTATATTTTGGGGTGAGGAGCTTTATTTAAGGTACTGTACATGGGGGAATTCATATCAATTACGATATATATATATATTTATATCCGTTATGGTGAATGAATTTAAATTCCGAAACAGCTTCCCAACAAAAAGGCGCATCATATCTAATCCTTATACATTCCCATGCTGTACGCCCTACAGTAAACGTGCAAAACCTTGAGCCCTAAACCCCCTCATCCCCGTACATCCCTTAAAACCCGCTCTAAGGGACCCAAGGGTATCCCAAACTCACCCCGAGGTGCAGAAGAACCGGCGCATGGGCGGTGCAGTCTCTGAGGAGGAGCTGGCGAAAATCTGCGAGAAAATCGAGCAGCTGAACATCCTGTGCCTGGGTTTGAACGTGTTGGGGTGGGAATGTTATGAAAAATTTGGACCATTGGGGGCCTAGAGGAGTTCCCTTTGAGGATTGCTCAGGGACTCGTATGAGAAGGGGTTTTGGCTTAGGCATTTCCAGGATCTGGGGTTTAGGGGTTGAGCTCACGGGTTAGGATTCACTACTGAGGGGATGAGGTCACGCTCAAGAGCTTCTTTTCAGGCTTGCCAGCAAGCTACAGTTTGCATGCCTCCCTGCTACTGTGATACTATAGCACTCCGCGAAATTCGGAGGCAATTCTTCGAGCAGCAGGTTCCTTCATTTTGTCGTACGCAATTATTATCCTTATATAAATCCTACAAAGTCCCTACATAAATCCCCATAATCCCAGTCATGTCCATGTCCTTTTCCATTATCCCTAACCCGCTAAGTATCTCATTTTTACTTTCGTGACCAAGTATTTGGGAGACTCTGCCTCCCCCTCCAACCACAACAAAGCACCAACATCTTTCCGAGCCACTGTACGGTATACCTCAACCCCTTCAGCCTTGAAATCCAGCCCTCCAGAAACTAACATACCCGACATATACTATGTGTATATATAGTCCTACATAGATAGATAACCCTTAAGGGCCCCTAGAATCCCTACGTGGAACCCCAAAACAGAAGAGGCCTGTACAGACTACCGGCTGTTCAAACGGAGGCTTCGTGGCGCTGCATCTTAGTCTGGGGATCCCTAAATCCAAGACTCCAAGACCTGAGAGACCTAAATTTCAAAAACTTCAGGCCCAAGATCCTACATCCTAAACCCTAAACTCCTTAAACCCTGAAGCCAGATAAACCCCTAAATTCTAAACCCTAAAGCTCTAAACCCTACAGCCCAAAACCCCAAAAACCTTATGGGACAACTGTGCGACTGCAAGCAAAGGCTTCTGGACCAATGTTAGGGATCCTTTATACTTTTTGGGGGTGTGGGGGTTCTTATATAATCCCTATATAACCCCTACAAACCCTGTAGTTTCCATTTTATTTTCCATTATCCCAATAAAACCCTAATATAATACCCTATATTCCCTTTATACTTGTTTTTTCCCTAGGGTCATGTGGGCAAAGGCTTGACCTGGAGCAGCCCTTCACCTTCCGTGTGCAGGACAAACAAGGCCTCCCAATGAGTGCCGGACGAAATGGGGTTTACCAAAATCATATTGAGGTAATATTGGGGTTATATAGGGGTAATATAGGGATAATGGAAAAGAAAATGGAAACTACTATAGTATATTGGGGTTATATTGGAACACGTGAAAATACAATGGAAACTACAGGGTTTGTAGGGGTTATATAGGGATTATATAGGGATTATAGGGTATATATTGGGGTTATATCGGGATAATGGACAAGAAAATGGAAACTACTATTTTGGGTTTAGGGTTTCCCATAAATTAGGGGTACCTACTATAATGGAGAATCAAATGGAAAAGAAAATGGAAAATGAAATGGAAACTGTTTTTATGTAGGGGTTTACAGGGATTAGGGTTTACCAAAATTGCGGGCACCCATTGTTGGGGGTCCCTATAATAATAAGGACTATATAGTATTTGGGGGTTCTATATTGGGGTCCTTTTTGTGAGAAACTGCCTTAAAATCTCTGTCATAGCGGAGAGACCATGGGAAATAGGGTTGGCCCCTGTCGGTTTTGCGAGGTTTGGAGGGGTATCGCTGGAGGGGGGTTTGGCCCCTAGCGGTTTTCGGCAAAAAAGTACGACACTGAACCCCAAGACCAGCCTTCCATAGGTTTAGTCCGGCACTCAGATGGTTCTGGTTAAGGTTCCGCTTTTGGGGGTTTAGGGTCTAGGGTGTAATTAGGGTTCAGAGGATTCCTATGACGGTGCTGCATCGCGGTTGCGGGGTTAAGCGTACTAGGCGATGGGCACTTTTGGCTTACCAGTGCACCCTGAGCCATGAATCCTAAACTTTCGGGTGATCGACGCAGGGCTCTCTGAGTTCAAGCCCGCCAACGGCGTGGTCGTACTGCCGGTGTCGGACGACGCCCCACCACTGGGCGAAAACTACGACTGAGGCTGTTGCGTCAGCTTAGCAAGCTCATCGCTTCGGGGAACAAGGATTGGACATAGCCTTCAACATTATTGGGCTGAGAGTGCAGAACTCGGATTTCTAGATAGAGTTGTCAGCATTATAGATTTCAAGCTGACTGCTGGCCTGACAGGTTTAGCTAGTGGTACAGAAGCTCATGCTTACTGGGTGAAGGCTACACTTTTCTTTGTTCTACTCAAATCCAACACAAAATACAAAGCTGTACACGTTCATTGTGTCCCTAGGTAAGTAACTAGCGTAGGACTGGAGCCATCAAGCCCCAGGCCTGAAACCCTGCAAAAAACGGGTTTTGCGGGTGCAGGGATGCAACAAGGTTTAGCGATTCAGGTCAGGGTTTGCGGTTTAGGGTCCAGGGTTTAGGGTTTAAGCATTACTCTCCCTCGAACTTGGAAGCCCAAACAGGGTTCTGCAAAGACCACAGTCGTTTGGAAAGCGGACCTTCTCAGCTTCAAGCCATTTTCCTCTGCGAGAGGGTGGACTCTACATCCTAAACCCTACAAGCATTTTACACCCACTTGGATAGTTTCGCTAGTTTTTGTTTTCCAAAACGGTGGACCTTGAACCCTAACCCTAGTAGCATTTTACACACTTTAGGGCATCCAGGCCCCAGGCGAGGTACTCTGAGGACGTGTGAGTGGACCGTATCTGGGCACAGGAAGGCGAGTCCATGGTCCCCAGAACGATATGACATGCGGTCATTTTCAAGCTGAGACTTAGGTTTACTTAAGGGATAGAATGAAAGGTTTAGGGTTTAGGGTATGTGAGGGAACGTTCATTATTTGTTTTTGGTGAGTGTACACAAGTCAGGTTCCTCTAATGTCGAATTTCAGGGACTAAACAAGGGACCGGAACCCCCCCCATATACCTGCCTTGCTTGCTACATTTCCTGTGGCAAGCCCGTGCTCTCACCGTCTATGATCTTGCAGTGCCCCCGGTCGCCTCAAATGTCCTCAGAGGCTAGGAACAGGCAGGGCTCTGGATGACTGCCGTTGTACTTAGGAAAGCGCCTGACGTTGGGGCATCGCACTCCTGCGGGAAACTGATGAAAGGGCTCCTACAGGGATATATTAAACATATGAGCCATAGTCTAAACTCCTTTAAGGGGGGGTATATAGAGAATTATATAGGGGACTACTATAGGGGTTATTAAGGGGGATACTAGGAGTTTAGACAGTGGCTCATATAGGGTTACATAGTGCGGATGAGTTAAGTAATCCAACCTCGGGTGTCATCATGCGCTCCTGAGATGCGTTCATGTATTCTACCCCGCAGGTAAGAGATTTGCCTCCTCAGCCCCAAACAAGGCTGCGTAGTTATAACCAGAGGCAGAAAACAGCCAGTACTTCATGGAGTACCTCGCCACACCCTGCTATACTACCTGTTCCAAGGTTTCCCCCTACAGTAACTAGGATTCTTGAGGGCTATCTATGGCTAATCAAGGGGGAACCTTGGCGCTGGTGGTATCGGGAAAGGAGATCCCACAAGTAGTTGGGAAAACACACAAGTGGATTGTTAGGCACCAAAGGACACACCCCAAACAGTCAGTGTTATTCAGCGAAAGGGGTCAAGGGTTTAAGGTCCCAGGGTTCAGATAAATTCCGGTGCCTGAATGTAGTCTTGCGCGGAGACCCCAAATTCAGGCTGTTTTGCAATAAGACGCTGGACCTCCATGGTTGAGCCATACCCCTGTCCAGCGCAACCCTACCGCGAAAGACCTCGCCAAGAACCGCAAAAATGAAAATGGAGGAAGAGGGAGGCGTCGTCAGTAGACCATTACTTGGGTTGCTATGTGGGTTACAGTCATGGGGGTGATAGGTTGTAATTTGTCCCCTCGGGTGTGGGAGTCCTATGAGCGCACCACCACCCTTAATTCAGGTTTGGAACCTGGCATTTACGCGAGATGCTCTTGCAAGTTATAGCAAATTGCATAGGGTTCCGCACACAAGTGTATCTTGTTGTGTGGACAAGCCTTCTGCTAGCCATGTGTGAGAGATGCTTGATGCTTCCATAAACAAGGTCCCAGCTCCGTACCCTAAAAACTAAACCTTAAATGCCTTCGCGCATCAGAGACGGCTTTTGGCCAGTGATCGGTTCAATCTGTTTTCTGCTCTTGAGACCTTGGGTTTAAGGGTTTAAGTTGGGTACTGCCCCATGACTGGGTAGGCCCTCGGGAAATTCAATGTTTTCGCTACTGGCTTTAATAGGGGACCCTATATACGAATATTGTTCAAAGGGTTTCAGGGACGCTAACCAGTTGGATAGTACTTGTCATATTATATAGCCCTTAATATGATCCCCATTATGCACTGTTAATGGGTGGGGCCAGGATGCAAGGTTTAAGAAACATTTTGGGGTCTGTCAGTTGTGTTTATAGGCAGCTTATAGTTCCTACAAAGGTAGGACAGCAAGGGTCCAGGCAATAGCTAGGTAGGTACACGTTACAGTTTGGGAGTTACCCTAAACCCTAAACCCTGATCAGAAACTGGGAGAAAGCTCCCATCCCACGGCAGCAGCCCAGAGTCCTTTCTATCTATAAGCCCCAACACGGGACTCGCGATGGTAAGCCCAGAAAGCGCGACCAGCGCACTAATTCCAAAATCCTAAACCCTAAACCCTAAACCCTAAACGCCCCCAGATCACCTAAAACTCTGTGATTTTGAAGCCCCATGATCCTAGTAACAAGGCCTAACTCCCATGAAGCCCAATTGCCGCATCAAACCCTATATGTTCATCAGGGTTTAGGGTTTCAATCTCCTTTGACTCTTTTCTATCCTCCACAGCCCTGTAATCTTCAAACCCTCCATAACCTTCTATTCCTGAAAAGGCCAGGTGCTACATGGGTTGTTCTCAGAGGTAGGGGGGCCCTTTTGGTCATAGACTATATTACGGCACCTAGTATCTAGGGGGGGGTATCAAAAATGGGACCCTAATTTGGGAACTTCCCTAACCCTATACCCTAAATAGTAGCTTCCATTTTCTTTTCCATTATCCCTAGATAGCCGCCATATAACCCTATATACACCCTATAATCCCTGTAGTTTCCATTTTCTTTTGCATTATCCCTATAGTCCTATATAACCCTATATACTCCTATATAAAGTATGGAACCCTATCATCCGAGGAGCTGCCGAGTCGCACTCAAAATTCTATAGTCCTTAGCCCAGGTAATCTTGGGATACTATGGGGTTATACAGGGATAATGGAAAAGAAAAAATGAAACTACTACATTATGTAAGGGTTATATTGGTAACCCCACAACCTTAAACCCTAACACTATCAAATCCTAAGCCCGAGGCTGCACAAATGGGTTTTATATGGTGTGTGACTCTCAATATGTATTCATAAACATATAAACACGCATATACAAATATTTGCACTTGTACTATGTCCCTAAACCCTAAACCTAGACCCTAAACTGTATTATGTCCTCAGGTGCTGCTGGGCCTCCGGATCCAGCAAAGGCTGTTGCATGCCGCCATCACTGGTCTACGCCAAGCTGTGGTGCACTGCCGGGCCGGGGCCCTCTAGACAGGCTGCTGGGGAGTGTATTGTAGGGCCTTAAACAATCCCCTCTGACAACAAGTATCCCCCCCAATGTGTCATTGTACTATATTGGTGGGGTGTATCTTGTGTTGGGGGTGGGCGGAGTGGTTTATTTTTCCGGTGGAGGGGATTCATTAGAACAGTGTTTTTGCGGCTATGATGCCGTAGACATTTTGTGAGGATGTATCACGAGGATGGCGGATGGCAGGGAATGACATGGGTCATTATCTAGGCTTCTGGATCAGGAGCAATAGGGGTTCTAGGCAGAATCATCTAGGATGAGGATTAAGTAATGTCTGTAGATTATGAAAAGACCCACAAGCTTGTGATCATGGCTCGTATGATGTGGTGTGCAATGGTTTTCAGAGCATGTTCATGAACCCACATCCATAGAAGTGGCCTGTTGTGCGTTAGCTTTGCAAGCTAGGATCCCTGAAGGGTATTTTTGCAATTTCGCATCAGTTAGTACTGCGCTGCTTGTGCTGCTGCTGCCGGGTTACTGCGACCATGACTTCTCCTCCTAGCCCGCATACAGCTCCCATTGCTGCTACTGATCCTGCTGCTGTTTCGTCATCAATTTCTTGACCGCAACTGCTCCTATGCCTGGGCTCCAGCAAGAGAAATAGCGCGTAAACTTGATTCCGGGGGCATTCCGGCCCTGGTACTGCGCAGCAAGAGCCTGCCATGTTCCAGGAGCGGTTCACGAATTAGAGTTTGGGATCGGCATTGACGGTTCAGGAATGAGGTTGGCAGAGGTTTTGGCTAAGAGATTTCACTAGTTTAGGGATATGGGCATGCTGAATTTGGTGTACCGCGGCGCGGTCGGGGTTTGGGGATTCCCTTTGGGATGCGCGGAAGGATGCCCAGGATGTATAGGGATTGCGTCAGGAGTTTTGGGGGGGATATTCTGGGTTTATATAGGGTCCCTTTTCGGAAGCTCCCATGTCGCGTATTTTCCAGTGACTTCGGGAGTTCCTCGGACATTCCGGGGAGTATTGAGCAGCATAATGAGGATGGCAAGTATGACAAGTTAAGGGGGACTACCACGTGTTCATTGTGGAAATGCCGATGAAGCACCTGCACCTGCTGTGCATGCTGGCGAAATGGCTACGGTAATTTTTGACCCTGAATATACAGTTCCTTTTGTGAAAGATCCCTGATAACTATAGGGTACCCACATGGAGGAGTGCCCATCGCTTAGACAACCTTCAAAGCAAGAGATTCCCATGCGCTATGAGACTAGCAATTCCGCCCATAACCTACCAAAAGATGCGCGTTTCACCTGAAACGAGCCTTACGGACCAGCCCACCTGCTAGCAGCCCACCTGAGAGTGCCCCGCCCAAACATGCGTCCCAAAGCACCGCTGTGCATGAAAAGTTATGGGTCTTTAAGTTTGTAAATCGTATTCTGGGTAGGCTCC